AATAAGCTGCATTCGGTAAAAGACTCTCTCATGTCTGTCTCTGGGTTATAGTTTTGCATTCATGGTACTGTATATATAGTTATGTATTTCAATGGTTATCAACTGAATTCACCAAGTGCCCTTAGCCTCCCATTATAATATATCCATTTGAATCAACAGGTTTTCTGTTCTTTACTCAGTACAGAGAAACATGTCTAAATTACACTACGTGATACGTGATATAATACCTAGATGTTGGCTTGAAAACACACAGGAGTATTCCATTGAGATATTTCTTCTTCTAACTTTTGGTTTGCTAAAGACTTTATTCTGTTTATATTATATAGTTGCTGTTATTCCTACCACATCTCCAGTGACGCAGATTGAGACTGTTGCTGAAGGAACAGAGGAAACACAAGCTGCGCTGGTTATTGCAAAACGACAAGCTCCAGAAATTCCAGCGGAGGGAAACTGCATGATTTACCGCTACGGCTCTTTCTCCTCAACTTTGGATGTTGTTCGTAAGGGCCACTCATCATAAATATATGCTTGTGCACAGGGGTACAACAATATAACCACATAGGATTAGGCAAGTTGCAAAAATATCATGCGCTACTTGTAGACAAGTAGACTTGTATATCGTCTCAATACATGTAATGTATCTCAATATTTCGTTTTGCTTTAGTTTAAGTGGGCAGCATGGTAATATCACCCCATAGCTCCATGGTCCTGGGTTCAATCCTGAGCTCAGATTACTATCTGTGTGGAGTTTTGCATGTTCTCCCCATTTTGTGTGGATTTTCTCAGGGTTCTCCGGTTTCATTTCACTGTGAAAAAAAAATCCTGATCAGGATAATATGGTTACTGTGATGGGGAAGAAATGTAAGCATTTAACAAGCAAATGACAGTGACTTTTAATTTCTAATGAATTTATTTTTCATCACAGATAAAATGTATTACTCTCGTACAGTTAGCTGAGATTAAGATTAAGGGTTTTAACAATTCTTAGGAATTATATAATCTTGTAGGCAATTCAGTACCTTCTGTGCTGTCAGAAAATACTGGTTAAATGCAATAAAAAAATTACTTTGTGCAATCTTCTGCACAATGTATTGAAGTTTGTTTGCCTATGGTTCTTTCCGTCAGAGGGAATTGAGAGTGTGGAGATTGTGGAGGTGAGTAATGTCGCAGTTTTGGCCACCAACGTGGAGCAGAACGCCGTGGATCTCACCGTCACCTGCCAGGGAAGGTCAGGAACAAATCTTATGTGTAATAATCTAACCAAACATTTCTTTCTATTTATACCAACACATCTGTAACATTTATTTTAACCACCCCAATGGCAGATGGGAGTGGAAATAAGAGGGTGAGGGAATGAGAAGCTAATGCCAACTATTAGCTCATTATAAACTTTTGAGAAGCTAGGAATTTTGGCTTGGAACTTTAGGACAAGAACCTTAATCTATGAACTTTAGGACAGGAACTTAGACCCAGGAATTTCAACCCAAGTACTTCAGCCCAGGAACCGAAACCCTGGAACTTTAGCACAAGAACTTAAAAAAGAAATTGTAGCCCAGAAAGTAAAACCCTGGAACTTAGCTACAGGAACCTAAACCCTGGACCTTTAGCCAAAGAACTTGAACTGCGGAACATCAGCCCAGAAATTTAAACCCTGGAACATAGGCACAGGAACCTAAACCCACAACTTCAGGACATGAATTTAAGCTTGGAGCATGAATATAAGGCCCCGAGCATTTATCCAGGATCTTGAAGCTAGGAACATTAAGCTCAGAAACTTTACTAAGATATACTTTCATTTACTACTTATAGTCAAAAATTACCTAATATTTCCTATTATATGATTTCCTATTATTAAATATTAAATATTTCCTATTATATCTAACAATTTCCTATATAATTTTATGCATTTATTTCTAGAAAGAAGCAAAATTATCTCCCAATAGAATAAGACACTTTAAAGCTTGGAATGAGTAAAAGCATCTAAAAACAAGCTGTATAATCTTAGTTTTGATTTATAATACTCTCATAATAAGAAATATTTGATAAATTTACCTATATTCAAGATATTTTTACTAGATAATGTATCGTTTTTTGCAGTGTGAGGCTTGAGTTCCTAGTTAAGACTTTGTTTAAGCAGAACTTGTGTACCCAATTGACAGAAACCAGAAACCCTGGATTTTTGACCAAAACAGAACTGAGGGACTAATGAACCGGAGAATGAAGTATAGTGTGCTAAAAGTGTGTTTGTGTCCTGCATGTCCTCAGCTTGCCGAGTGAAGTGTGTACCATGGTGATGGACTCAGACTGCATCAGTCCTGTGCAGACCGAGTGTAACGCTGTGACTCCGACTGAGTGCCAGATGATCCTCCGCCGTTTCTTTAATGATTCTGGAACTTTCTGCATTAATGTGTCTCTGACTAATGATGTCAGTTTCGCTGTAACCAGTGCGAGGCTCAGTGTCACTGTGGGTAAGGATCAGTAAGATATATATAATTTTTTTTAAATATACAGTATTGTGCAAAAGTATTAGGCAAAAAAAAAAAGCTGTAGAGCACAGATGCCTTCAAAAATAATGAATTTAAATGTTTCTACATAAAAAATACTATAAAGAGCAATAAACAGCAATAAATGTAACAAAGCCAATATTTGGTGTGACGATCCTTTGCTTTAAAAAAAAAAAATAATAGTAGTCTCAGGTACAATTAGTGCAGTTTTATAAGGAAATGAGCTGTAAGTGTTACTGAACATCTTGCAGAAGCAGCCACAGTTCCTCTGGAGACTTTGACTGTCGCACTTGCCTCCTATTTTTTGAATGTAAAACCCAGCAGCCTTCGTTATGTTTCTTTGTCTAGAAATTGTCTCTTATGTAATCGGCTGCTTTCTTTACTGACATACAAACATTTTTCTGTAACATTTAATTTTGTGCCGGAAAACTAATGTTTGGAATCTAAAATGATTTTTGTACTGAATCAATAATGTAGGAGTCATAAAATAAAAATCTATAACAAAGTTTTTACTAAAAAAAAATAAGGTGCCTAAGACTTTTGCACAGTACTGTACATGTATGTATATATTGCATTTTGTGGTTTCACAAAAAAGTAATCAGACACCAGACAAAGGTATAGAACACTTTCTTCCTCATCAAACCCCTCTAGTAGAAATAGTTTTTAACCCCACCCATTCCCATGTGAGTGAATGAACGAGTCAAACTTACATCTCTACAAGTTATTTTCGGTACTAATGTTCGTTTATTTTTACAAATTCCTTTGACCTTGATATCTTCACAATATCTTATGCACAATAACTGTGTTTTGTATAAGTTTAGTTTAAATAGTGCCTACTTGTTAATAAGTCTGTTTTGCAGGCCACTAGTTATTTGGCTAACTTACTGTAATAAACCAGGTAATATCAATTTCAATAATTTCATGTTTTATACAATTATAAATGTAGATTCAGGCTCCTCCACGGCAGATGCTGCCACTGTGGTACTCGGCGTTCTTGTGCTCGTCTGCGCTGTAGGCACCATTGCATTAACTTACAGGTGAGTAATCTCTTTTGTTTTATGTCCTAAAAGCTAGAACTGATTAAATCTCAATATTCATCAGACTCCGTCTAATATCATTACTGATAAACAACAGCTCAAAACCCTGAACCTTATTATTATTAGTAGTAGTAGTAGTAGTAGTAGTAATATTACTAATTAATATTATTATTAAGTAATAATTATTATATTAATATAACTATTACATTTCTGTAAAAAAAATCCAATTTTATTCAATAAACTTTTAGATAAGCTCTAGTTCTACAGATGATTTTAATTATATAGTGTGTTATCGTATTAGCATTCTTTTAACCCTTTAATATTAACACACATTTACAGGCGATTGAAGACACGCCATGCATTCAAAGAGGACTCGACAGATGGCATCATGGGTATTTCTGGTTTAAAGTCTGTTCCAATGTTAGTGTGGAACTTTCTGACCCGACAGAGCACTGCGGAGAGCCGCCCTCTGCTGCAGGGGAGAGTGGTGTGAACACACACACACACACACACACACACACACACACTGCTCACTTACACTACACACAATCCACACACACTTATATCGGTGCTGATTTACATAATCCAATTAGTGGCTAATGTTTATTTTGGTTTAACATAGTATTACAGTGTTATGACCAGAATTATGGGTCAAGACCGGGTTTGTTCCAGGTGAAAAAGGTGGCTGTCTTTATGCTGTCTTCTATATGAGCCTGACCTTATCTTCAGAGTGAAAAAAAAAAGTTCTGCCTACTTCTGAACATAATGCGAAGGGAATTTTGAAGCATACCCAATTAAAAATTACAACATTGTGTGTTTTGAATATAGAAATGTTATGGCTTAACTGATTATCACTGCATGCCTAATACACACACTGCACCACACACTGTGTTAGGACTGTGTTCTCAAGGAAAAGGATGAATCATTTGACTAAAGCTTTATGTACCATTATGCAGAACCTCAACATGCTCGTAATACACACTCTTAATAGAGAGGTAGATTAGATGCATTTCTTTGAATGAGTATATTGATAGCGACTTGAAATGAATGAAAGAAAAGAGAATGTCCAGTAATTCAGTGTTAATTAAAACTGGCCTCATGCAGTTTTGCTAAATAACTGCTACAGATCATTTATGAGTAACACAAATCCTAGCTGATAATGATGATGTAGTTCAGATCTGTTAAGTTTAAGGTTTAAGGTGCTATGCTTTTCTCCATTACTGAACACTTGTTATCCTGCAATAAAGGCATTTTTTGTGCTTTACACTTCTTCCAGTCATTCTTGTGCCATTTTACATATTTTGATTGCCACCATTAAAATACAAATCCATCCATCCAATATAATATAGACATAGCATAATTAGGGGAATAGTTTGAAAACTGTATGTACATGAGGGAAAATGGGACGTACACAATGTCCTCCCACCCTAAATGTAGTCCATCACGCAGCTATGTTTGAGGAAGTGGTGGCTCAGTGGTAAAAGCTTTGGGCTGGTGATTGGATGGTTGTGAGCTCAAATCCCACCATGGCCAAGCTGCCACTGTTGGCTCCTTGAGCAAGACCCTTAACTCTCACCTCCTCATTTGTATCCTTTCTCAACTGTAAGTCAGTTTGGATGAAGGTGTTAAACAATTGTACTTATTTGGTGTTAAATGTTTACTTCTTAAGTGTAGTACTGGAGCTGTGATGGTATTATATTAATATAGTTATAAGGGAAGGTTTATACCCAGCAGTATACCATTGTGCAAACTGCAAAACTGCTATATTTTAAATGTACAAACGTTAGATGCCTTTTATTTCACACTGCAAACGGATTTGGGGGTGGGAGGGATTTGGGGTGCGGGTATTAGTTGCAGTTGCTGGGGATGCTCTAAAATCTTTTCCTGATAACAGTAAAATCAATACACTTGTGCTTATTGAGCATATTAATTAATAACTCCGTATTTACCACTTTGAGCTAGCATTCGATGTGCTCAGGTAATATCCCTCAGCATGGGATTTCCTGGCATGAAGAACAACCAATGTGGGTGGGCGAGAGGCAGACCGACTGTCCGACCAGCAGTGTCTACTGCGCATGCTCTGGCTCTAATTTTGACCTACTGCGCAAGCTCAGTCAACATGGCGACCAAAGTTAGGCTTTAGAACCGCAAAATGGGAGTCACTGGTGCCATGATGTCATTGGTACCATTGGACTGCTTCTGTTGTCACTTGTGGGAGTAGTAGCAATGTATATAGCTTATACAGCTAACTAGTTTTACACAAGTTAAATAATGCACTAATTAGTGTGAAAATTGGACATGTGATTTACATGTTACTTGCTAGCAAGCTAACTGTACTAGCTGTGTACACTCACCGGAGGCACAATAATCTCTGATACTGCCTTCCAAGCCTTATTTTTCTTCCTAAAGTCACTCACATATGAGAGTTCATACACGACAGGATCGTGATTAAAAGTCAGACTGGGGCCAGTGTGACCACAGTCACTGGCCATTTCATGGCTAATCACTGGATGATCACTACAGAATGTCTGCCATCTTTATACGTAGATGACCTGATGCCTTGATGTCTTGCCTCTTTAAGGGTCAATATGACTTGAAGTGGTTTTATGAAAAATGAAGTGGTTTTGTGAAATGGACATCATTTTAGCATTTAAAATAACAAAATACACTTACAATGCAAGAAAGCACAGCAATGATAAAAAAGAAAAAGAAAAAGAAGATGATCAGGTCAGAAAATCTTTAAAAACCTGATCATCTTAGTAAATATGTCACACATGCACATACATTCAGTTTTTTTTTTTTAAATATCCCCATGTCACATTTCTAAATGAATCATTGCTATATTTCAAATGCATATATAAATATGAATCTAATAAATAAATATGAATCTAATATTGGGTAACATAATGATACAGAGAAAGCTTCAACTACATGTGTGTCTTCAGAAAAAAAGACACTTCAAATTATGCTTGTCTTTTGGTGTATGAGAGTTTACAGACTATATGGTCAAAAGTTTGTGGACACCTGACCATCACACCTATATGTGCTTGCTGAACATCCCATTCCAGATTTAGTCCCCTTTGCTATTATAATAACCTCCACTCTTCTGGGAAGGCCTTTCACTAGATTTTGGAGCGTGGCTGTGGTGATTTTTGTCTTCAGCCACAAAAGCATTATATCAGGTGATGAGGCCTGGCACATAGTCAGTGTTCCAGTTCATCGAAAAGGTGTTCAGTGGGGTTGAGTTCAGGGTTCTGTGCGGGCTACTGGAGTTCTGCCACTCCAACTTTGGTAAACCATGTCTTTATTGACCACTCTTTCACTTTCTGGACATTGTCATGCTCGGACAGGTTTGGGGCTGTTAGTTCTATCCATCCATTTCCTGTACCACTTATCCTACACGGGGTTGTGGGGAGCCTGGAGCCTATCCCAGGGGACTTGGGGCACAAGGCTGGGGACTCCCTGGACAGGGCGCCAACCCATCGCAGGTCACACACAGTCACACACCCATTCACTCACTGTGGACAATTTAGAGATGCCAGTCAGCCTACATCGCATGTCTTTGGACTTGGGGAGGAAACCGGAGTACTCGGAGGAAACCCCCAAAGCGCGAGGAGAACATGCAAGCTCGGTGCTCACAGGGCAGAGGCGGGACTCGAGCCCCCAACCCCAGGGGTGCGAGGCAAGCGTTCTCAGTGAAGGGATATTATATTGCTACAGCACATAAAAACATCTTATATAATTTGTGGCACTGGTTTGGGGAAGGCCCACATGTGGATGTGATGGTCAAACTTTTGGCTGTTAAGTATAGCGTATTGATGATGAACAGACATGCTATGATTGCACTAGCTCATAACATGCTGCTATCGCTGTGAAATTGCCTAAATAGCGTTTTCAGCGCCTAAAGAGCACAACACTGTTAGGACACATTTAATTAAAAATAAAACGATCATGTTTACTCCGGTGTAATTAAAAAAAAACAAAAAAAAACAAAAAAACACGAATACCACATAAACGTGAGAAAAACAAATTATCCGCTGGGTGGCGATATAAAGCTTTAGTTCCTTCGAAAGCGCTAAAGGAAGAAGAAAAGTGGGCGGGGCGACGAACGGCTTTGTTTGAAGGCGGGTTTTAGGCTAGTTTCAAACCGTTTACTATTTCCTCTCCAAGTACACTACTTAGGGTGTTTCATAATAGCCTACTACTGCCTACGAAGTGCACTAGGTGTCTTGTACAGAGACATTGTGGACTGAGCATAACTGAACGCGGGAATTGGCGGGTTTTGGTAGTAAAACATAGCGTTATTTTTGAGTAGAGCTGAGGTTAAGTATTCTTTAGCTATGTTTTAAGCTCTCACTCGCTTCCTCATGCTTACATTTCACTCTCGAAGTGAACCTACAGCCAGTTTGTGTATTTAGGCGTGAAGTTTTTAGGGTGGGCTCACACTTGCCCGGGGCAGAAGGGCTTTTAGCCGTATGTCTGACATGGAGTCCTTTCAGAAAGTGGAGAAAATCGGAGAGGGAACCTATGGAGTGGTTTATAAAGCGAAAAACAAAATCACTGGCGAAACTGTGGCGTTGAAGAAGATCAGACTGGACACGTAAGTGGGAAAAATGTTAGTGACATCTCTGTGGAAAAGATTATTATTCTAATCACCCGTGTGGTTTAAAGCAAGTCTGTTTACCTCAGCCTCCTAACTCCTGTCACAGTATCTTTCAGTTAGGAACTGTGCTCTACACTTCTTCATGTTGTGTTGGTCTCCTCAGATCAGTTTGTCTCTCAGTATCCTGAGCTAATCTCCATTCATGGACAGGAAAACCATCCAGAGTGAATGGAGTTCAGTTATAAATTGTGGTGCATGGAGACATTACTCCTAACACTAAATCTCACACAGCTGATCATAATTCACTTAACAGATTGAACATTAGATATTGCAGACACAAAGCAGCAAGGAAGAGGCGACAGTGGCTAGATGACATGGGGAAGAAACCTTGAGAGGAACCAGACTGTTCATCTGGGTGATACTGGGAGTATACTGGGAGTATAGTGGGATTATACTGGGAGTATAGTGGGATTATACTGGGAGTATAGTGGGATTATGGCGAATTTATACTGGGAGTATAATGGGATTATAGTGAGATTATACCAGGAGTATAATGGGATTATACTGGGAGTATAGTGAGATTATACCAGGAGTATAATGGGATTATACTGGGAGTATAGTGAGATTATACTGGGAGTTTAATGGGATTATAGTGAGATTATACCGGGAGTATAGTGGGATTATACCGGGAGTATAATGGGATTATAGTGAGATTGTACCGGGAGTATAATGGAATTATACTGGGAGTATAATGGGATTATAGTGAGATTGTACTGGGAGTATAATGGGATTATACTGGGAGTATAGTGAGATTATACTGAGATTGTACTGGGAGTATAGTGGGATTAAACTGGGAGTATAGTGGGATTATACTGGGTGTATAGTGAGATTATACTGGGAGTACAATGGGATTATACTGGGAGTACAATGGGATTATACTGGGAGTACAGTACTGTGCAAAAGTCTTAGGCACATGCAAAGAAATGCTGTAGAGCACGGATGCCTTCAAAAATAATGAAACTAAATGTTTCTACATTAAAAAAAAAAAAATACTATGCAGAGCAATAAACAGTAATAAATGAAACAAAGTCAATATTTGGTGTGACGACCCTTTTATAAATAAGGATTATAAAGCATTACTCTTCTACACCTGTTAAACAGTTAAACAGGACTAAGCGTGTTGAACTGAAAGGGTGTTCAGTATGAGCGTATTGAGATAAGAGTCCCGGGATAAACACAGAACAATTGTTATAATTACAGCAGTTCTTCTTAATGTTTTTTGTGTGTGTGTGTGTGTGTGTGTGTGTGTGTGTGTGTGTGTGTGCAGGGAGACTGAAGGTGTGCCGAGTACCGCCATTCGAGAAATCTCCCTGCTGAAGGAGCTCAATCACCCCAATATTGTCAAGTATGATCATGTTACACAATACAGACGTACACTTACTTCTGCAATCTCTAAAATGCTTTCAACTGTATCAGTTACAAACCTGCATTTTTCCTACCGTGGGACCGCGTTAAAGCAATACTTACAAAAAAAGGGAATGTGCCCAGTTTTTTCCCAACCAAATATAGCCTTTCAGCCAAAACTTTTTTAATCATAATCCGTTTCATGGTGAATGGTGACGGTGGCAACAAGCTGAGAAGGTCAGCCCAGACCTCTCTATCCCCAGCCACAGATTTCAGCTCCTCCTGGGGATCCCGGACGTTCCCAAGCCGACTGTGAGATATAATCAAACACAATATAGGTGCAGTGTAGGCAACTAAATTCATCACATCCACTAGGCTACTTTGCTACCCATTCTCTCTATAGTGAAACTCAGCTGATGATGTCTTCTGAAAATGCCCTTGGCTTGGAACGCACTCTTGGAGAAATTTTGTAACTGGAGGTATTGTCTGATATCTAAATTTAGTCTACTTGAACTTTACTGATACG